GTTCTATAATACACACCCGCACGTTTTCAACTATGGACTTGCTATTTAAAGACAAGATTAGTTTTCCCTAGATATGCTATACAAAAACAGTTTAGCTCTAAATCATGTAATTACTTGTAAAGGCTATAACTTTAATGAGTTAAACTATAGAGGAAGTTGCACTGCACTGCCCTCACTATTCTGTTTTATATTCAAAGAAAATAATGTTGAAGTCACCCAACAGTATTGGCAAGTTGCTTTCAGAATTGAGGGAAGGCTGTCGGAGATCTGGAGAGTCACCCATCAGTTTTTGGTGTTTGAGGGTTGGCAAGCAGATTAACAATGAGAAGATTGGAACTTTGGAAGTTGGGACAAAAGTAGAAATTAATATTTTTCTGCAGGTTTATAATTAATGTGAAGTTTTACTATTATTATTCAAATTTAGAAATGTAGAAATTGTTTTTTTTAGTTGTTATAACTGTATATGTTTTGGAAGTCCTAATTGAGTCCATTTCATTAAAGTTTTGTTCTACTTAGGGTTTCCATTATTGTAGCAGGTTAAGAGCTCTTTGGCAAGTCTCAAGTCTCAAGTCCCAAGCCATAAAACTCTATAATCATACAAACAATCGTTTCTGCATAACTTTTATTTATCAACTATCCAATACCAATAAAATATTTTGCTGTTTTTATATTTTGTTTCTTTCAAAAATGGGCGGTTAAGATAAGCTATGTTTTAGACAATTGAGGCTTTGCCACCTTATTTATAGACATCCCACTGCCTTACGCCAGCTACACCTATTTTTGAGTATGTAGCCATCACATTATAAATATCATTTTGTAAGCTATGGTCGTACTTCTTGTCGTTTAGCAACCTCATTCCTCACTATTATTTAGTTTTTTTTTACCTGGCAGGTTCAGGTGAAATTCATTTTAATCTTGCACTGTCGACTGGTGTTTCACCAGTTGGTCCAATATTCAAGGGGGCTTCTGTTAGAGTGATCAAAGATGAGGAAAGTAAATGTTCTACTTGGCTGACCGCAAAGCGAGAGGGGTCTGCAGATAAGCTCGATGGCGACAGTATTCTTCAACTTCTAGCTGAGGTATGTTGTTGTTTACTTGTTTTCATTATATTATGTTTCTCACTTTCTCCTTAGCTAGCTTTCTGCCAGTTCCATAAGATTTTGAATATCGCATATGATTAAATCATTGCCAACGTGCCATCAATCAGGACTCCCTGAATTTAAATGTGGTTGGATTTCGTCTCACCGTCACATTAATTAAAGTCATTTGAGCGGATTTTAGCATTTCCCATTATTAATGTTAGGGGAATGTTAGCCACTTTTGCCTTAATAAAACTAAATCGAACAAATAACTTAAAAAAGATAAAAATAACAGGTAAACTTACTAACACAGGGACGCACCTATTCTTTTCAAGGCATATATTTACGATAAAGAATCCTATGGAACTTGTATTTTTTAAATGTATTATTGCTGAATATATATAACAGTTAAACACGAAAATCATCATAGTTCATGGAGAACAAAGAAGTTTCCATCCCTATATTGTAAGTATTATGTGTGAATAACCTTGTTCGTATCTAAGTATCTTCATTGTTCTCGTTGCTTGATCTCTTAGCGAGAAAGATAGTTTGATATAAAACCAGCTGCTTCAAAAGCAATGTGATTCGGGCTTTTTGTTACCAGCTGCTTCTTCTTGACGAGATAAAGCATATCAACTCTGGAGACACATGACACACACACACACATGCTGCCCCACTAGCTGCTATTATAACTTAATTAAAGGAATTTTTGATGTCATTAAGAATACCTTAATTAAGTATAGCAACGATTAATTAAACATATTAGTACTACCTTGAGATCCCCATACTTGATCTCCTGCACCACCACTCATTGAATTACAGAAGTAGTGTACTCAGGAATTTTATTGGCATGTTTGATTGACGGAATATGTTAATCAGGATTTGTTGCTCAATGTTATTTGACACATGCACTTTGAAGACCATTAAATTTTCGTGGATATAATATTTCGTAGTGGAATTTGTAAACTAAGAAAATAGGTGATAAGATTATCCCTGAATATATTGTAGGAAGATATAGGTAAATATACCTCCCTTTCTTTTTTATTGTATATTATATACAGGCTTATTATTCCTGTGCCCCTCTAGTCTATTTCCAGTCAAAGATATGTGCTATCATAAAAGATGGATTACTGTGTTTATAAATTACGAACAGAAGCTATAATTATTTTCTGCTGATGAATTTTCTGAGATAATGTATGGTGTTACAGGAGATAGGAATGAACTATGTTCTGTCTAGAATTTGGTATCCATGGAGATTATTTATATGTTATTATGTTTTGCAGAGTGATATTGATGTCTTGAACCGTGACTTGTACCTTGGGGTTACAAAACGAAGAAAATGCTCGATTGGGACTGAGAGAGGAAAGATTGTTTCTTCCTTGGCATTTCATGAAGTTTTGGGGTAACATTTCTAATATTTGACATATTTTTTGTATTCAGTCATATCTTAGTTTAACGTTACGTATTGTTTCAATTTACAACAAGTTACAAGTTTGTATGAGCACTGAGCTCGAATAATGATGCATGTGATGCTATATGATTAACCACATATATGGTCTATTAATAAAATTAATGAATCCAATTGATGGTTGAAGTCTTACATGTCAAACTGGAATCTAATTGGTTAAAAGTAATACGTTTTTTTTTT